CCAAAGCAATGCTCCAAAGAGCAAGGATCTACTGTCATTCTGATGACCAAGTTATATTATTCCTTTATTTTCTATCTGGCGTGCTGTAATTTTCTAGCTGTTGGGCTGGATCCAGACATGGAACAGACCCAGTAAATACAATAACATACATGGGTCATGACTAAGTCCTCCAAGGATGGCTAAATCTGGATTCAACACTTTCTGGTTTAATTATTTCCCACTGTTGACTTAGATTAAAATCGGGATTTAACATCTGCATTTGAGTTTGCAAGGAAGGAATACATTGATTAATTGTAGCCATTCATTTATGGATCCTTGCAACTCTCTTTTCTTGTTCTGAATTGTCAATAACAAATCAATAGCAGACTGGTAAAAGTCTGCAATGCACCATTCCTTGCTTCCAAGTAGTCCTATTAAAGGCAATGCAGCCTATTTGGGAAGGGAGAAGGGTGTGGCGCGCTTCCATCCCTGGAAGTGTGGCGTGTTCCATGGTTCAATGCACTTTAACGGGAGGAAGTCCATGTTCGGATTTTAAGCATCACCCTCAGGAATAATCAAATAGATCCGGAAACAAGCCGCAGCCGCAGCTAAAGACACGTCTCGTGGAATCAGTCGCTTTCTCTGATCGGCACAGTAGAGAGAAGCTCGCTGAACATTTTGGCAGAATTTCCCCCAGGCAGTTACTGAAAGAGTGTCTGCAAAATAGTCTTGTTTTTTCCCTCCAGCCCTTCTGCACTTGAATCCAGAGGACCGACTTTCGCGCGTTTTAATTTGGAACTTGTCCCATTCATTAAAGCAATGACTGTTAAAACGGAGGGACATAAAGAATAAAAGATAGGATTTATTTCTTCATTAAACTGATGATCCGTATATGAAGCCAATTAACATTATGAGTCTGATGAACATCAAGTGTAAAAGAGGTTAGAGAAAATGAAGAACAGTCACCTTGGTCTTTAGATAAAGAAAGACCACTTTTGTGTTATAAATTATAAGAGAGTCCAAGCGGGACAAATCTGCAAATTTGACTAATTGGAAAATACATTTTACTGCACATGGATTAAATATAACCTCTTCACTGCTGGTTCTCATATAGGCAGCTGGAAAACAAGAGCATAAAGAAAAACATTTGGCTGAAACAGAGTTAGGAAACAAGTTCAGTGAATTCGTTGCTGTCTGAGTATTATTCAAAAAAAAAAAAAAAATGAACCTGCTCTGTGCCAGCTGTGGACAAAACGAGAGCGGGCAGCAACTGCAGGTTTCATGGGATACCCACAGAATATTTACATGGAAATAATGGCACTGAAGCTGAAAGAATTCTCACTTTTCTACGAATTCATCTTTCTAGATACAAATGCAAGAAACCCCTCAGCACCACATAATTTTGGAGTGTTTTAGGCGAGTCTGTCCATCTCTCTCTCTCTCTCTCTCTCTCTCTCTCTCTCTCTCTCTCTCTCTCTCTCTCTCTCACACACACACACACACACACACACACACACACGAATTCAAACTTTCCACAATGCGTTTCCCGCAGCTTCCCATTTGGTGGATTTAAAGGGACGCTGCCGGGTGTGGTTCTTATCTCAGAGCTCTTTCATAAAGTTGGAGAAGAATACAAGCCAGATTACAACCGCAAATGCTTTCTGAATGGAGGCACCACTTCATTCCCCTTTCCATCGGCTTCCGAATAAGCTCCATGGAAGACGGTGCTGATCTTCATGCTGCAGACTAGGTGTGCGTCAACTACAGCAGGGCAGCCTGGTTAACGTCCATGCAGCCTCCCTGAACTTCTGGGGTAGATGCAGACCTGGCCATCCTAGCGACCTGTGAAAGGGACGCGCCCTTTATTTGGATGGACCAAGCCGGCCCCGTCACAAGGAGTCATGCCCTGCAGTTTCTGTACTTCGGCCGAAGGCACTTGCCGATCACAGCCTTTGCTTCACATTCCCCGGAGCAGCCTCCAGCTGGCGTCGGGGGGGCCAGTCTCCTGCCAGGGAAGGGGCCCGCGAGCCGCAGTCACGCAGCTTCCTTCTCTTCGCGCCTGCTTTGCCGCCAGCGCCACTGTGCTCCATGGGACCCGCTCCCACGAGGGAGGCCACCGAGCCGCGCTGCGCTTCGCCTTTGAAGCAGGAGGGCGGGAGCCCGCCGCGCCTCTGTCCCTGGTGCTGAAGCTGCAGGAAGGCGCCTCGGGTGGAGGGAAAGGTCCAGCCCGCGCTCAGATGGAAGAGGCACCGGGGAGGGCGGCGGGGTGGGGCCGCTCGGCGCTCCCCTCTCCCGATGAGCAGCTTCTTACGCGCAGCATAAGTAAGGCGATATCTTTAACTGGAGGAGCATCTTGCCCTCCTGAGCTAAGTGCAGGTCCAGCCCCTTGAGATGGGGCCCTAGAGAGGGCCTTTGTTTCTCTGGCGGAGAAGACAACCCGCCCTGCGCGCCCTGGGCAGACTCCCATGCGCCGCGCCTGCAGACTCCCCAAACTCCAGGGGCCAAGGCTGAGGCGAGACGCGCAGCCGGAAAAGCGGCTCATTTCGCTCTGCTCCCTCCTCGCAAGAACCATCACGGGGAGTGCCATAATGAAGTTATGATTATTTTATTAGGGTTCTGAAGACCGCTTCTTCTCCTTTCTCTCCGCCAGGGAGAGCAGCGGAAAGCGCAGCTGTGCCCAGGCCAGGGACCCCTCGGTGCCTACCAGTCCCGTCCGGGAGTTCGCCCCGGACCTGCTTGGGAGCAGGAGCCACCAGTGCCTCCGCCTCGCTCCTCGCCGCTGAGCGCGGGACTTTTGGGGTGTTCGGTTGAACCAAACCGCGCCCGTTCCCGCCTCGATCGGCCGGCTTGGCGGTTCGCGATCGGAGAGGCTGGTTCGACGTCTCGGCCGGCCCGCGCTTCCTCCAGGCGGAGACGGGACCAGTTGATGAGCGACGAACTAAAGCTCTTGCTCAGGGACCTTTGTGAAAACGGACTCGAAGGGGGCCAAGGAACCCGCGCCCAGAGGCCGCTTGGAGATGCACCACAGCTGACTCCGGTGGGTGAATTTCCTGTCTAATTTCTGCCAGCTACCCTCTGTCGCTCAGACTTATTTTGGGCAGGTTAGAGAGGGATTTTTGACCTGAGCAGGGCTGTCCAAACTGCGTCTTGCTTAGCCTTTGAGAGCCTATGGAAAGGAGGGATCCAGTTTCTGAAATGTGTTTCTCTTTTCCCGCTCTGGAAACGCACGATTTCTTTTAACCTCCCTCTACCTTTGGGCGATCCCTGCACCGACTCACCTGTCCTTTCTCGTTCTCTTGCTGTGTTTATAAAATATTCAATTTCGGCTGTCTGGCCAAAAATGGTTTGCTCCAAAAAAAGCTCGTGGTCTGGACCCAATCCAGCCCGCCAGTTCATCAACAGTTGTCTGACTTGCAGTTTCTGATGCATCTTCAGTGGGTCGAAATACCAACTTTATTTTCAGTGATACATAAATTAATTACACGCATTTAATAACCCAAATATCATTATATTCCCCCTTTAATATCATAAAGGCTTGACGCCAGGGAAGCTCTTAATAGGGCTGGGGGCCATAAGGAGCTATTATCTTTGTGTAATGCTATTATAGAACCAATTATGCACCATTATCCTGTTCCCCCACTTTCTAGTTTGCGCCATTCGATCCAATCCCGCACCCCCGAATTTTAATTTTCACCCGGGTGCTTTAAAATCTAATTTTCACCCCGGCTTCGGGGCTGGGCCGGCTCTCGCCGCTGAATCTCGGTCTCGGATGCGTTTTAAAAGTAATTGCGAAGGATCCCACCGCATATCATTTGCAGACGGGAAGCGAGCATCAATCCGGAGGCCCCTCGCTGTGAACAAAATCAAACTCCGCTCGGCAAAGGCGAGGCGGCTCCCGCGAAGCCCGCCGAATGGGCCATTAGCGGGCATGGGGAGAGCGCGCCAGCCAGGCGCAAGTGCCAGCGCCGCCCGCCCGCCCGCCCCCTCGCCCGGCCCGGCCGCCAGAGGAGGGGGCCCACGAGAGCGCCCGCCGGCCCGGGCGCCTGGCGCGAGCAGCGCGTGCCGGGAGCTCGGGGGTCGCGCGGGCTCCCGCCCCCCCCCCGCTCGCGCGCCTGGTGCTGCCCGAGAAATGACGTGCCTCCCCCGCCACGCACCACGTGGGTCATTTGGAGGGCCCAGTAGACCTATCCAAGTTCCTTGCTGCAGACAGCGCTGGCAATAATCAGATTAAGGCCAATTATGCGTGAGATTATAAAAGCGGGTGCTGAGAGGCTGCGCGGGCTGCAGACAGTTCCGCGAAGACATCTGCCCGTTGGCACGGCTCCGCGGGGGCCTCGCGGCTGCCTTGACGCCAGCAGCAGCGGCAGCAGCAGCGGCGGCCGCGCCAGCAGCTGCCGCCGCCGCCCCCGCCCCGCGCTCGCTGAGGTAGGGCTGCCCGCCTGCGCCCGGGTGTCCGCCTGCGTCTGCCGGATGCGCGGGGCGCCGCTGGGCCAGGACGCGGCGGGCGAGCTCTCCCCGGGCCCGCAGGCGGGCGGGGCGGGGCGGGGCGGGGCGCAGGATCGGGCTCCGCGTCCGGGGAGCGTCCCCGCAGCTGCCCTTCCCGAGGGGTCCTCGTCGCAGCGACCTGGCTCTGCTGCCCCCGCCCGCCCTCCCGCCCCCGACGCGCGGCTTCGTTCTGGCGGGACTGCCCTGCACGCAAGATTCGCTTGGCCCGTGGAACGCGCAGCCCGCAGCGACCAGACTCCGCCTGGGAACGGACGCCTCAGCCCACCCTCCATGTCCTCAAAGTTCTCCGCAAACTTTTCCTTTAACAGGTGCCGGGAACTGCCGCGCAGACTCTGGCGCTCTCATCCAGAGAACGTGGCCCGCTTTGCGCAGGGTGCTGCGCTCGCTTCCCTCCGCGCCCGCGGACCGATGACCTTGCCCCGCCGCGCGCTAACGGCCTTCTCCTCTCCCCGTTTGTTCCGCAGCGCGAGCAGCCGCCTCCGCCGCCTCCAGCGCCGTCCCCGGCTCCGGCCACCATGTTTTACTTCCACTGCCCCCCGCAGCTCGAGGGTGAGTGTTGTGCGGACGCCCGGACCGTAAGTAGCTCGGGGCCCCTGCGCGGGAGCAGCTCGGCCGCAGCCCCCTGGGAGTGGGCCCCGGAACTTTTCCGCAGGTGCTTGGGGCTGTGCTGCGACTCCGGGGCGGGAGAGCGAGCGCCGCGCGCCGCCGCTTTTACGCAGGCTGGCAGAAACTTCTGGCCAGCGCGCCGCGCAGAACGCCGTGCTTCCCCGGGGAAATCGCAGCCAGCAGGCCGGGGGGCTTCCAGGGAGAGGGCTGGCGGGGGCGGGGGGCAGGCGTTAATTTGATTTGTCTTGAAAGCGGCTTGGTGGGGCGGCTGGCGCGCGCGCCTCTGCGCGCTTCGCGGTGACATGTTGCCACCTGCCTCCCCTCTGTGGCTGAGAGAGCCGCGGGCGAGGGGCGGGCGGGGGGCGCGCTCCGCTCTCCCAGCAGCACAGATGTTCCTGTTCCGCCTCTAATCGGGAAGCTCTGGGAAGGTTGGGGGCAGCCCCTTCCTCTCGCCCGGGGGCAGCATAAATCTTTCATACCGCTTTGGAAGCAGGCTTCGACATCAGGAGGGAGGGGAAGGCTCGCGCGGGCGGAGGCAGTTGCGGCGCGGAGGAGGCTTAGCTGGGCGTCGGGCGGAACGGCGGGCGCAGCATCGGTCCGGCAGGGTTCGCTTCGAAAGTTTTTGTTCGTTGTAACAGCGAGCGACGGGGGTAGGGGGGCGGAGAGATGTGGCCCAGATGGGCTCTTCCTAGCCACGGCCAGCCGATCCGGACGGCTCCTGCGCCGCCGCGGCCTTGCGTAAGCAGAAGCGCCCGTGCCCTGGAGTAGCTTCCTTCGCGCTGGGAGCTTCACGGGGAGGCCAAGTTGCTCGGAACCGACCGTCCCGCCCGGGTGCGCTGCGCCATGGGCGGCGCAGCAGGGCGCGGGGGAGGCTTCGCCCACGGACAGCGCCCGGCTTCGTGTCCCAACCGGCTTCCGGCTGCGACAACCCGTGAGCTGCCCGGAGTCCACCGGGCACCGGGCCACGAAGCAGCGCACCAGTCAGGCCCGCCGAGGGCCGGCTGCTCGTTTGCTCCAGCTCGACCCTCCCGGTCGGCGCAAGCCCAGAGCATCCGGCCGGCGCGCGAACGGCGAGCGCGTCTTGGAGCGACGGCCCGGATCGCGCCAGCCCGCGCAGTAAGGCAGAAGACCCCCTTTTCCCGGCCAGGCGGGCCATTTCACCCGAGTGACCCCTCGCGTCCGGAAGAACCTGGATGCAGCCAGCCTCTCCCTCCCGCACAGCCCCCATGGGCTCTGCGAGGCTTCCTTCCAAGAAGCAGATTTGATTCCGGCTGCGAGTCAATCAGTTATTTAAATCCAAATTAATTGGGCCGAAAAGGTGCTGTTCGATGGGCCCGAAACCTCTTGTTAGCAAAAGAGGCCACGCGCGCGCCGTTCTTCTGGGTGCCAGGGCAGCTTTGGCTTTGCTCGTGATCTTAACAGGGGTCCTTCATGGTAAATAACCTGAACTGGCAGCCCGCGCAAACTGAGGCTGCAGCTCCAGGACCTGGAGCATGAAACTCCAGCGCCACAGAGCAGATGCCGAATGCTGCTGTGCGGCGACTTGAGTTTATGGCCACCCAACTTGCTCATGCCTTGGTCTGCATGAGCAAAGGCCATTTTGGGCAAGAGGCAGGAAAGGAAGGGAATTCCGGCTCACACTTATGAAGGAAGTCCTCCCTGAATCCAGGAGAATGCAGTGAGCAGTAAGCCTGCGCAGAAGTCCAGCATAAATCAGCTTAAAGTCAGAATATCTGGGTGAAAGCTCAAGTGGCAAAGGGTCTGGGGAGACGCTTTGCAGAGCTGGGGTGGCTGGGCAGTGGAGAGATGCTGACTCCTTCAGTGGAAAACCCATCTCCCTAAATTGGTCCCACGAAGCATCTGAGCTCCCTGCTCTTCTGCACTTTGCCAGGGTGGATTGATCAGCTTACGGCACCAGACCTGAAATGGGCTTCCTTCTGAACGGCTAGTGGCCACGTGGATCACGTGGATTTATGCATTTTTCTAGGGGGAACAGGTAAAAACAGGAGGCTGCATTCCTGTGCACACCACCTGGCAGCAAGTCAGCGCGACTCGCTCCTGAGAGGCCACGGACAGGGCTGCTCTGCGGCGCCCACGAGTGCCAGCCTTCTTCCCGCTGCCCTCCCCATCCCAGTGCCCAGGGCGCACGGGTTCCAGTCCTCCGGTTTGCTCAAGGCAGCGGCAAGAGCTGCCTGTCCGAAATCTATTTCAGGTCTGCTGCGTAAGTGGTTTGCAGCCATTAAGAGGGTCTTCAAAGGGCCCGTCGCGCGTTTGAGGCTTTAAATCGATTTTAACAAATGAGGTAATGGGCTTAGACCCAGTAATGGGATTTCAGTCCCAGGAATGTGTATGGGGGTGCCTTTTTATCCTAAATCATAATTCTTTGCCTGACTACAATCCGTGATCCGTCTGCTTCTGATGATAACTTTGCAGCGCTTTTTATTATTTTTTTAAACACTTCTAATCCAACATCTTTGGTAGCCTTGCTGCACTTGCCACAGGGAAAGCGCAGCTTTCAGATCCGGGTGTAAGGCCGAAGCGTGGCCCCCCTCGCGCGCCGAGCTTGCCCCGCGTGCCCCCCCCCACCCCGCCCCACCTTTTCGCCCAGCTTTCCCTGCACAAATCCTGCCCGAGGGACGCCGGCGCTGGGAAAAGGTCGCGACTTCGAGGCTCCCCTCGGGCCGAGCGCCGGATTTGCCAGCAGCCCGTTTGTTCGGGGAACGCGTCAAGTGTGAGCAACTACACTCTGACGGCCCTTTTTACGAGGGGGAGAGCAGGAGAGGGGCAATTTGGAGCAGAGCGGAGTGCGGAATCTTGCGCTCCCGTCTCCCCGCCCCCCCAACCGTCCCCCTCTGCAGAGGGTCGCCTTGCAGGAGTTCCTTTCTTGCTCTCCGGCTACTTAAAACGCCTCTCCAGGTTCAGTTAGACACATCCACTAGGCTTGCACGGCACGGGGGGAAAGCCAGCACTTAATTTCCCACCGGTCGTCTGGACGTGACACGAGGAAGGCAGCAGGTCGGAGCTCGCCAAGGCAGTTCTCCCGTCCTTCGCGTGGACTCCAGCGGACGCGCGCCCCGCCTTCCCGTCGCGGCCTTCTGCGTTCGCCCGGGGCCCCCAGGAGAACGGCCCGCGCCTCTCCCACGCGGGGAAGCCAACTGGGAATGGGAAGGGGCAGCCCGCTCCCCGCGGCCACCTGTCAGAGGCGGCCGGCCGGCCCCGGCCCGAGGGCGGCGAGCGAGCTGGCTCCCGCTGGCGGGGCCTCGAGCGCCCGCGCCGCTGGGCCGCCGAAGCGGCCGGGAAGAAGGCCCCGAGCGTGGTGCTGCGCGGCCCGCCCCGCCCCCGCCGCCCCGCCTGGCCCCCTCGGCGGGGTGGACGGTCCGGCCCGGGCGAGCGGGCCCCGGGCGCAGCGCCGGCCCGCCGAGGGACGGGGCTCAGCGCCGGGTCTCCCGCAACAGGTGCCGCGCCCTTCGGAGCGCCTTCCACGACGGACTTCGACGACGGCTTCCTGCGGCGCAAGCAGCGGCGGAACCGGACCACGTTCACCCTGCAGCAGGTACCCTGCCCCGAGCGGGAGGCGCCCCGCCGCTCCCGGCCCGCCCGCGCAGCGCCCGCCTCCGCGCCCCGCCGGTCCAGCGAACACGGTGCGAAAGGCGGCCAAGGCACGGTCCCCGAGGCGTTGCGCCGGAGCAGGGCGCGCAGCTTCCCGCGCTGCTGGGGGCGCCGCTGTGCCGCCCGCACTGACTCTGCGGGGCCGCGCTGCCGAGGGGCGACCGCGCACCCCGTGCGTGCGTGCGTGAACGGCGCGCTCCGGACTTGGGGGCAAGCCATGGGGCCGCGCAGGGCTGCCATGGGGCCGGGCGCGGAGAAGCGGGCGCTCCTCTGCTGCTCCCTGCGAGGCCGGGACCAGCTCGGCCTTTTGCACCGGCGGTGCGGGCAGAGAGGGGCCAACCATGACCCCTCGGCCCTGCCGGCCTCTCCTTTCTTGTTCTGAACTAGCTGGAAGCCCTGGAGGCCGTTTTTGCCCAGACTCACTACCCAGACGTGTTCACACGAGAAGAGCTGGCCATGAAGATCAACCTCACGGAAGCCCGTGTCCAGGTAAACGAAGTTTTTCCTGGCCAGGTGCCTCCTCCTGCTGGCAGCAGAAAGTTGTTGGCGTTTTGTTTGGTTTCTGACATCATCAAATTCACCCAGTGCTGCCTGTGAGGAGGGCCCATTTGCCAAAGAAATTGGCCAAAGAAAGCAAATGAAGCCGATCTGTCATTTTCATGATGCACTTTAATAACATCAACATAATGTGGAATATTAGATTAGGTTGATTAATCGGTCATTCATAATTAACCAGTGATAATGTTCTACACTAATTTGTCCATGTCTCTGAGGCACTAAATTACATCAATGCACATCCATTTCCTCACATTGGGGGGGGGGGGGGTGGGTCCTGGAAATGGATGAAACTCCCAGCGCACATCTTCTGCAAAGCTGCTGTTGGGTGAAATTGACTAGCTCAGGCGAGAGGACCGGCCTCTGCTGCGCAGCCGTTCCCTGCTAGGAAGGAGGCACCACTGCCTTACGTGAGATGACTCCCAGGCTGGTGCTCACAGGGAGCCCTCACTCAGCCCTTCCTTCCCTGCACTCGAATGCAGAGCTTGGGCTCCCCATGCCAGGTAGCAGTCAATTTCATCCAGGAAGGCTTCCTCTGTGCAGGCACACACACATGCTCCCACCTGAAGAACATCTTGTCTCCTCCCCAACATTTTTAGTATTTTTACTTGGAAAACCCTTCAATAATTTGTATACGTAACAGAGAGTTTATGGATGCTATAAGCAAAAGCATACAGTCTCTATTCAGCTCTTAAAGTAAAATGTTACCAACGTCTGCTGGCTTCCAGATTTCTGTGGAAGAGTAGTTACTGGGTGCTTGACAAGTGTTTAGCCAGAACCTTTCTAATTCCCCAATTAACACAATTTAAAATGGATAAAATATTTATTTATATAGTGCACAATAGTTGAAGTTCTCTGGGCGATTTAGTGAGAAACTTCAAAAGTTTAAGTGTGGTTAGGAGTTAGCTGTTCTGCATTGTGGTGCCTTGACACCTTTCCTCTCCATTTCTGTCGAGGACCCTGAATGCATGATATGCCAGGAAGCAGGCTCGGTTCTTATCCACAGGCAGGCCGTGATTCCTTCCTAGCTGTATAGCAGCAGCATGACTTCCCTAGAAAAGATAGGAGGTGTCCCAGAGGGTCTAGGGCTGCCTTGTTATTCAGACCATTTGTGTCCTGTGCTTCAGGCAAAAGATGCTCAGGGCACTTCCCTAGTATGCTCCATGCCTACCGCTGACATCCGGGATTCACAGAACGGCCGCCCATGCCCAGCCCCTCACTTCCCTGGGTTTTACTTCCCTTTGAGGAAGGGCAGGTGGGAGCTTTCGGAAGCCTATCTGTGGCGAGAGCAGGGTGCAGCTGATGGGGTGCCCTGCAGCCCCCAGCGTCCAACTTCCTTTTCAAGGAGCCTGAGGATGGCACGAAGTTGAAAGACAGCAGACTTGGAGCAAAGCCGTGTCCAGCATTAAATCTTTGCAGAGTCTGAACTCGAAGCTGCTCTAGCTGTAGCCACTCCGTACGGCTACGGTACTGGAACGGCAGATCCAGAAAATGTCTACAATGCAAAGCATGGGATTTAAAAGGGAGAAAACCTGTGTGCTTCCGAGATTCAAGGAGGAGTGAACATTCTGCAGGGAAGAGTCTTCACTTTTTGGCCCCAGCAAGCATCTGTGGGCTGCGGTCCTGTGAGAAGAGCTCAGCACCCTCCTGCCCTCTAGTGGTGGAGGAAAGCCCTTCCCTCTGCAGCAGACGGAGGGGCAGCCCTGCTGGAAGAGGGGGCAGCCCTCCTGCCGCCATCTAGCTCCCGGTTAAGAAGGAGCCTTTATGGCTTGCTTGGTGCAGAATCCGCACTTCCATCTGCAGAGAGACTTTCTCTCAGCTCACATGTGCTCCTTATAGGACTTTCTTCCTGCTGTTTCTGTCTTCTTTTTATGTAGGTGCTTGGGGTTAAGACTATGCAAAGATCTAATTGTAGGAAATATAATGGCGCGGCTTTTCTCCTCCAGGGTCATGTTAGTATCTCTTAAAACCCAATGGCTAAGGAGAGATAATGGAATTCACTGTAGTAAATTGGGGATTGTAAACAAATTATTTCTTCTATAATCAGGTTATGCAACCCTGATTATTAAATCTGAACATGAATCATTGGTCATGTGCAGGGAAATTAAACTGATTATTATTATTTGGACATTCAAATCTCCTTTTTGCCAGTACATTGGATGTGATGGCTTGAGGTTTTCCCTCCCACCATTTTGGCAATTGGTGCCTAAAGACTGCACTGCAAATTGAGATAAATGGAACAATTATTGGGCATTCAGAAGTGGAAGATCATAACTTCTCCCTGAAAGGTGCAAGGGCGAGATACGGGTGGTGAAAATTAGAATGTTAGGCCTGTTGTGGGCTATTATACAAGCAGACAATAGATCTAGGGTTTGCTTTCATGCCGGGACATGGGGAAACAGGGGGAAGGAGGCATGTTTACATTTCTGCCCCTTGCTCATTCAAATATGATTAATGTGCTGGAAAGCCATGTCTTAATCGAAGATGATGTTGTCAAACAAAAACTAAATAGGGAAATAAACGACTTCATCAGGCTCTTTCTTTGGAAGCTGGCAAACTGTCATTGCAAAGTCATTAAAATATGATAATGAAAAATAGCTCAATTAAATGTTGTTATAGCTGTGACCTTCATTCAATTAAGACACAAGAAAGTGTCTGCAATTGGCTTTGCATTTAACACTCCTAAATTTAGAATGCAGATAAAATCATTATTCAGCCTTTGCTGATGCATGCATTTAAAAACAGGGTAAATAAAAATAGAATGATAATGCGAACGAAACACAGTGCATTGTAATCACATTTTAAATTGCATATTTCCTTAGTCATAGCTCAGAAGCCAGATTTTCTCATCCATGTAATAATATCCACAACTGGTTCAGCCAAACTTAAATTTAAAACCAGTCACACTCTCTTTTGTGTCTCGTCAGACTGTGTTGTAACCAGATTGTGGACATACTTATTACAGCCCAATTAAATGAAGGTACTTAAATTTAACCACTTAATCCCACTGACGTAAGTGGAACTGAATACACTTCATGCAAAATACTTTAGGAATTCAGAGAACTGAGGCCACGGTTGTGCTGTGAGTGGAATTTGGTGTTATGGGACAAAATTGACGTTAGAAAGAAAAAACCACTAGAGGAAAGATCTGCCACTTGGCTCAGTGGCAGAGACTTCAGGGCCAAACTGGATGCAAAGAGAAGTTTGTTCTACGTGTCCCCTTTGCATCCACATTCGAAGCTACGGATGCCCATCTGAGCAGGGAGGAGCGATTCAAGCCTCCATGTGCCCCTGCCACTGTCCCAACAGAGGCCTGTGCCTTGAGGTTGCTGCTTGTGCTTTAACAGGAGCTGGCAGCTCAGAGACGGATTCTTCTGGGCACCGAGGCAGGGAGTGAAAGCGTCAGACTTCCTTGAGAGTCTCCCAGGAGTACTCAACTGATGGACCAGCCCAGTGGCCTCTGTCGCAGGTGCCTTGTGGGGCATCCACAAGGAGGACCACAGGCAGTGGCCCCCTCTGGCCATTCTCCTGGAACTGGAGTGGAGGCGCCTGCTGCTCCAAGCGGGAGCCTCCTGGGTCAGTCTTGAGACTGGCCAGGCTTCCCCTTTTCCGGAAATTAAGGGAAACGTCCGTTCTGTGAAAATCCCCCATTCCCAGCTAGGCTCCTCACCAGGAAAAGAGCCTGGCGAACGAGCACAGAGAACAAACAGAGAAGAGCAGTGTCTGCCCACAGCTCAGCTTCTCTCTCCCTGTGGGGCAAGGCATGCGGGTCAAGGATGCCGAGACTAGGCAGGGCTAGGCATTCGGGCCCAGGAAGCGCCCACTGGCAGCGCTGGACTAAGGAGCCCTCTCACTCAGCACCTTCTGCTCCCTCCAGTGGGCACTGCAAGGGTGGACCCCACGCAGGTGGGGCCCTTTGAGTTCGCATCCTCTCCTCCACCCCTCCCCACCCCACCCCAGTAAATTTCCCAACCAAGCAGTGAAGTCTGGTGGCACACGGCTGTGAAGTCTTAAAAGGGTCATGCTCTCTCTGTTGCCACTTTTATTTACATTTCCGTTGCTGCTGCGCTGCTGGACGTGGCTGCTCGGCCTCAGCCCGCCGTTCCTGCTGCGCCAGGGAGCAGCCCTGGCAGCCGAGTGCATCCAGGTGGACGTTGGCACCCATCCTCGCATCAACCCATGGCGAGCAGGAGCCCATGCCAGGCCCCCTTTGGTTGCCGTTCTGCACTGTGCGTATTGAGCCGCATCTGCCTGGGAGGGTGCGACGCGGTGCCCTGCAACAGCACGGGTTAGACTCGGTGGCCTTCTTGGCCCTTCCCTCTCTGCTACTCTATGATCCTATGATGATAGAGCTTGTTGCTGGAGTTCTACCAACGGAGACTGGGGAGCCAGCTGTCAGAGGGCTTTAAATTGGATTCTTACCCCGATTAGGGGATGGACCCATGGCCTAAAGGCTGCTTCCATCTCCCCGATTCTATGACAGAAATACTCGTATAAGCATCCGCTATTCCTTTTTCTTTTCTTTCATGGCAACATTGCTACACACTATCATTCCGCAAGAATGAATGAGATCTAGGTACACCTTAACATGCAGCTTTTCCTGATCTTCACTGAATAAGGACTTCAAGAAAAATTGATCTTCTTGTTACCAATTCCATATGGAGAAGATGATAGCAATATTATAAGGTGGTCCTCCCAAGGCAGAGGAGAGATGCTGTAGGTGGAGTAGGCAGCATATAAATATTTTAAATAAATAAATGGAGGATGGGGTACTTTAAACTGGACTATCGCACTGGGCAGAGGACTAAAGGGTCCCTTCCAGTTCCATGAAATTCACAGAAATTCTTATTGCTTGAGCCCAGGCAAAGCTGACTATTGCTTCTCTCCTGCCTGATTCAGGTCTGGTTTCAGAACAGAAGGGCCAAGTGGAGAAAAACTGAGCGAGGAGCTTCTGACCAGGAAGGGCCTAAGGAGGCAATGGCGGAGGTGACGCCCCCAGGAAGGAATTTAAATTCTCCCTCCCCAATTGACCAAGCCAGGAATAAGAAAGAGGGCCTGGAAATTCATCAAAGGTAGGAATGACCTCTTCTGCTCCATCCTGCATCCTTCACAGCACCCTGTAAAGGCAGGAGGGTTGGCAGGTAGGGAAGAACTGAGCTACCTCTGGAAATAATGGTGAAGAAAATGTGGGAAAAATGGTCAGACTTTCTTTGGATTTCTAGCAAGGTACGGAAAGAAAAATGTCATGGCTTTTCTGAGATAATGTAGCCCAAGAATTTTTGGCTGGGTGCTATTTTTCATAGAATCATAGAGCAGTAGAGTTGGAAGGGGCCATGAAGGCCATCGGGTCCACCCTCCTGCTCTTGCAGGACACCACGTCACCCCACCCCACTCAGAGGGCTGCCCAGTTTCACCCTGAATGTCTCCGGTATGGGAGAGCCCCCCACCTCTCCGGGCAGCTGGTCCCACTGTCGCATTGCTCAGACAGTGAGGAAGCTTTTCCTGATGTCCAGCAAGAACCTGGGTTGTCGCAACTTGACTCGACTATCATGTCCTACATGACTCAGGGTTCCTCACTTACTCCAGGGTCTTATAAATGTTAAAGTTCTGGATATATCTCATCTCTAATGCAGGTGCTGGTAACACCACTCCTTCCTTGCAAAGCCATCCTCCAGTTTCCTTAAAGTTCCTTCCCCCACCCCTTCCACCGTTCTGCCTCCTTCTTGGGGCATTTCAGAATTCATTTTGGATTTAACCGGTATTTTTAACCTGCAAAACTACTTGAAGCTGCACATGTCTCCACTGCTCTGCACCCCCCCCCCCCGCCCGGCTGCCTTCAGAAAAAGCCCCGTGGGACGAATGAGCTCACCGTGTCTTCTCCGGGGTCTTCTCCTGTGGGGAGCCAAGGAGGCTGCCAGAGAGAGGATTGCTCCACGAAAGTCAGGACATTTGCGCATGCCTCCCAGCCACCAGAGATGTTAGAGCCCTGAACCAAACCCATGACAATTTTCCCCAAATTTCTTCTCCACTGCATTCATTTTTGAAATCCATTCCATTCCTATCAGGCTGAATGAGAAGAGTAAAAGAGGGGGAGACCTTTGGCACTACCCTAATCTGAATGGAGATGCGAGGAGCCCTCAGCTCTTGTGCAACCTCTTTGTGGCTCTGGGAAGCCTGTGGTTGTTTCCCTGCATCTTTCGCAGGCTGTGAGGAGTTCAGAGGGGCTTCCAGGCTTACTTCGCCGAGGGCGCTTCTTCCCTGCTTGATCCTCACCTTCTGTCTGCTTGAGGTTTTTGTAAAGATCTGTAGAGCATTTGGCGCAGCTTCAGCTTTGGGGCTCTCCAGCACTGCCTCCCACCGCGGGCCCGAAAGCACAGGAGGGGTTGCCCCTTTTGGTGCTACAAGGTGGCTGTGGTGGGTGGGGGGGGACTGAGCACCGAGACTGTGTGACCAGAAGTGCGTAGAGGCAGCCTGGTGGCTGGGCCTGCCCGGTCTGGGTTCAAGCCCAGACACACAATTGCTGCACCAAGTAGCTCTCCTCTGCCCTGGGTCTTTAAAGAATATCTGTATGCTGCCTTTCATTAAAAAGACCCATATATCCTGGGGCTTTAAAGCTTTTTCAAACACATCTATATGGAAAGGTAAAATAAACTGACACTCAATAATAAAATTAGTAGCCGCAGAGGATGCAAGTAAAAGGATAATTAAATCAACTTCCAAAAGCTTGATGAAGATATACTGCCATTTGTCTTTGAAAGCCAACCCAAGGGGCATGCCATTCAAGCTTTTTGGGAGAAGAAATCGGGTAAATGTGGGGCCACTGCAGAGAGGGGCTTTTTTCTAGAGAGAGCAAGTGTGCATTTGAAAGATGATGGTATCTAAAGGGCAGATTCATTGGCTGGGTTCAGACAACGCAAAAACCCGACCCACGGACCGAGTGTGAGATATCATTGAGCTGTGGCTTGTTGCTGAACGTGGGTTATCATGTTGTCTGAACTCAGCCATGCTGAAACAACACACACTGTTAACCATAAATAACCCATAAAGAGAATCCATAATTCATTTCTGGGTTGTGAACTGCATGTTGTTTGTGACTGATTACCAAGCTTGGTAGCAAGTCATAGTTTGGTGACAACTCACAATGGCGGCATTTGTATGCCAGGTCCTGCGACGTCTGAACCCAGTCCTGGGCTGTCCGTAAAGTTCCAGGGAGTGCGCAGAGCAGAAGCTACTCTGGCCTTTCCGGCTCGCCTTCAGCTGGATTTAACCAGATGTGCCTCCCATGCAGGGAACAGTCCCGCCCATCAGCGGATGGGCGACTCCACTCGTGAGCCCACAGACATTTTGGGACTAACCTCAGGACCATGTTTTGGGTAGAAATGGAGTCTGGAAATGCTGGTTCTCCGAGCAGATACTGTGAGGCTGAGCGGCAGAGGAAGGGCGCTTCGTGACGGGGTTTTCGGCAGAGACCTGTGTTTGTAACCCATGTTTCTCCTTGCAGCCTCAGCAGAGCAGTTGGTCCGTCTGGCCCCTTTTTCCCCTCGTGTCTCCCTGGGACTCTGCTCAACACGGCCACCTACGCCCAGGCGTTGTCGCAAGTTGCATCCCTCAAAGGTAAGGGAGGTTTTCTTTGATTGCCTGCTCAGGAGCAGCGAGAGACTAATTTTCCCCACATCTTCGTCTCGTCCGGCCCCCTCTGGGGTCAAGTAATGATTAAGTGAGCTGGGTCACAGTTAACTGGTTGAGTGCCACTGACGGCCACAACGACTTGGCCTTGCTGCCACAGGGCTGACTTTCTGGTTCTGGTTTGAAGCTTGGACACTCTGTTTAGCTAGGCTTAGGTTCCAGTCATATACACACTTGCTGCTTGGCATGCAAGGAGGGGGGATCCGTGACCTGCTGCCCAAGTGAACCACCATCTCCAATTTCCTAGGCTTCATTAAAGAAAAGCAAGAAGAAACTCGTCTTGTAGAACTGGAGATGAAGCAAGTGGCATTCTGCACATTTGCTTTTTAAGCAAACACTGTCCTGTAAAGTGTTCCAGAGTAGATATTCCCACTTTCCTGGGGGTGGGAGGGGGGGTGGTGGGGTGGAGAAGTTCCTGTGCAGGAGGTCAAGCCAGCAATGTAATCCATTCTAAGCCACTCCCCTGGCATGCTAGTTATTCTAGGGAAATTCAGCAGCGTGAGCAATCGGGAGGGAGACTGAGAAATCAACTGACATTGTCTGGATGCCTGGTCTGCTTACTCAGAAAGCAGCTGAAGCAGACACGCTTTCCAGTGTGGACTTGCTAGCCCAGCTTAGTCACTAGGTCTATCAGAAATGGACACGGACAGTTCTGGGAATTCCATTTGTTTCCTTCCCTGGAATTCCAAGGTGTTTTTGATACGGCAAACAATGGTGGACCGCACCATTTTCCCCAGAATCTATGAGTGGTTTACATTTTTGGTTTTGAAAATGGTGTAAATTGTAATTTGTATGAATGGCATGTAATTTTGGTCTTTCACATCTGCCTGCTCATTGGGCTCTGTAAAGAAAACCAACCAACCAACTCCGTTGCCCTGGGATATGCCTCTTATCAACATGAAAAAGCAAAACGTGTTAAATTGTCGCTTTGCTTTTCCCTGACATTTGTCAAAAGATGAACCACCCCTTAAAAGCAAAAGCCACAAGAAGCTGAACTGGGCTGGCTTTTTCACCAAGATCCTTCAGTTTTTGTATGTGGACCTGATATTCCTCAGGGTCCCCTGGGGCTTGAGAAAGTACAAGACACACCACTTGTGGGAGCTGTTGAAGCTTAGGCTTTTGTCTTTTAAAACAGAACTTTTGAAAGGGCCAAGCAGGTTTTTGTCTTTGTTTCCTGGGAAGGGGTGTGTGCATATGCACCCATGGATCTGGTTCTAGCAGCAGTCAGTTTCCAGCCAGACTGTCAGCCAGTTGTTTAGCAATCCCAAATTATGCTGCCGAAACGAAGAAAGCTTGGGGTAGACAAGAATGGGGTTTTGTGTGGCCACAAAAGTTCAGTTCTGGTACTCAGAACGAATTCCTGGGCTCTGGAATTTTAACTGTATGTCTTCTGCAGCAGGCTCCAATCAATGGCTCTGAGGGTTCAAGTGAAAAACAAAGCAGACCCTGCAAGAGAGCTTTCCTGGGGAAAGAAATGACTTCCCAAGGTTTGGCCAGGTGGTATGGCTGGGAGATCTGTGAGTTAATAGACCCTCTCTCAGAATGGAGTTTTGCATTACAAAATGTGCATTGTGCAAATGAAATTTGCAATGAATTAGTGGAAGGTGTTGCAGGTATCTCATTACATCTATCAGTGCAGTTTGGGAAGAACTACCAATGGCCAGTCTCCATGTCTGAGAATATGAAGGCCACCCATGACCGATCTGCTTTAGGTTTTAGTAAAACATGCAGGATCCTGACATGGTGTTAAACTCATTCCCCACTCCCCGTATACCAAAACTTCAATCCCAGTCATATTCTTCCGCACTTGCCATTTCGAGTCACATGTAGTTTGACCCTTGATAGGGAGCTGTTGCTAGGAAAGGGCTGGATTCTCCTTCAGGGGAAGAATTTATGTTTCATGGTCGAAACTGCAGGCGTGGTGTTCTACAGATTGTCTCCGCGTTACCTGCATGTTATAGCAGAAACTCTTTAAGCTAAGGACTGATTTCCATTTCGGAGAAGATGAAACAAAAGGAGGGTTTTTGTTTTCATTTCATTTCCACCTTTCATTTAAAGCTCTTACAGCCGTATCTAAACCCTGGAAGAAGCATGGCAGCCTTTTGGGAAGTTGCTGGAGGGAGAGGGGAATGCACCAACGCTGGGAAACCAGAGGCTGGGGAAAAGGGTGGCCTCTTCTGGTGAACCTTGGAGGGCTGCACTGAAATATTGGGAGGGCTGCCTCTGGCCCCGGGCCCAAGTCTTCGCACCTCTGTATTACAGCACGCATGAAGGGCATGCCTCTTGAGGCAAGCTAAGCATGGACAGAATTGTCCGGATTCTGCTCGGGAAGCTTGCTCATGAAACGCCACCCTTACGCCTTTTTGTGGCCCAGCCAACAGTCACATTATATCCCCACCCCATTCGTGTTTAAAAGATGCAAACAGGCACACCAAAGCTGTGCCCAAGTCCACGGCCGAGCTAGTTCAGCTTTTGTTTCTGGATGTACATTCGGCTGGTGTGCCACTGCCTGGAAGCAAGTGGTCCAGTCTCTCGCAGCGAGGCCTTCGCAACTCTGGTTGGACTCCCGGGACTTTGTGGGACATTGCCTGCTTTCCCTGATGCCTGCACTTCAACAGGCCCCCACCAGGGGCTCTCTGGGGCCACCCCTGTGAAAAGTTTCTTATTGGCTGGGTTAGGCACCTGAGAGTGTGTGCATTGGAGCTCAGTGTGCATTTTAATCTTATTTTAAAATATTAGCCACTGTGGGAGGGGGCAGTTGGAGAGGGAGACAGTACTTACCTTGCTGTTGCCCCAGAATCCTCACATGGCTCCCTCCCCCCTTGTTACCCCGCAAAATACATGTTTGCCAGGCAAGCTAAACTTAAAATTCTGCTTACTTCCCTAGGAGGATCCCTTATCAAATACAGTGAGAATAACATTTGAATGGATACGTGCAGCAGACGCTCCAATTAGCTCTGTTCAGTACTAGAATCTGGGGTAGTGTAACTTTGTGTCCCGACCTTCCGGCCCCTTCCAACTCTGCTCTTCTGTGGTTTTATGACTTGGTGAATCCCCTGGAGAATCCGGGCGATTCTGCTGCAGCCAAGTGCCGTTTCCGCTCTTCGTTGCCCCCGCACGGAAGCTGCTTTTCCAAATAAACTCTGGCTCCCTACAAGCCACCCTGAATAGATGTTTAGGGGGTAGCGAAAATGCTGCATGTTTATTCTTCATTTATTTCTCTTATACCACCTTGCTTCCATTTCACCAGATGCTGCCGACGTCTATCATTTCTCCTTCTGGCTAAAATATAGCTGTGCTCTAGACTGCTCACCCATTCTTGAAGGACATTTTTAAAATGGGATAAATATAGACTGCTCTCACATTTCCCAGACAAAACGTAATTTAGGGGGAAATGTCCAAATCACCACCATGTGCGTTTTAAGTAATATACTGGAGAAGTATTTTATCTAGAATTTGTGAATTCATTATGTTGATTGTTCGGGTCTCCTGCCCTCCTTCTCACATTACATTGTTATTGTTGAGTGCAGAGCCTAAAGGGAAAACCCCTTGCAGCCAGCGCCTGATTTATTTATGCATTGTGTAACAGCAGCAAACAACCCAAGGAATCAACAAGCTAAAAGCATGAACTTCAGAGCGGCTCCTTAATGGGCAAAGGCAATTCATTAATGGAAAGGTTATTAATGGAGGCAAACAGGAATCTCTGATTTTCAGCAGGAGCTCGCTGTCCTTGTGGGAGAGGCTGGATTGCATTTGTACAGGACTTGGTGGAACACCTGTTGCCCAGCGCATGTGGGGAGGAGAAAATCATTACCTCGTCACATAATGACTTGCCCGTTTCATCCCAGCTCGCTCTTCCTCTTTCATGTCATTTCTTGCTCTATCGGCAGAGCAGCCCGTACCACAGTAAAGTAGCTTTTGCATTATACATCAAAGACCTGAACAGGATCGATCGAGATCATTCAGGGTTTGTGCACTGATTCGTGGAGGCTTAATTGCGGTGCCTGCAAGACAGGGCTGGATTCTGAGTCGTTCTGGAAATGCTGGGCTTGCCAATGCCAGGCGTTGTGAAGTGGTCTATGCAGGGCTGCCTGCCTTTGACAAACATTTCGGAATCCTCCCAGTGATAGATTGGGATTGCTATAAGAGTGGTGGACTAGATTTCCCCGGATAACTTCCGGGAATTCAGCGTTGCTCTGAGTTAGCTAGCAGGGGCCGCATTGCAAAGCATTGTGTGTCTGCATTGTTAGGTGCCCTTCTCATACGGATGTTTGTTTGTTTGTTTGTTTATTCATTTATTTATTACAAGCTTTTCTATCCCATCCCCTACAAATGTCTCAGGACGGCTTACAAGAAATGAGTAGAATGAAACAGCTAAAGTTGTGTTGGCTTAAGTTGCTCACGAGGCTTTGTGTCTGTACGTGGCTTTGTATTTTTGCCTGAATTCAGGAGTGCCACTTGCAGGTATGGGTGAGAAGGAAGTGCCCCTGCTGTCAGCTGAGAGGAAAAGTCGTGAGGCTTGGGATGCAGGTACCTTTCCAAAATATGCTTTAAAAAAAAAACAAAAAACAACCAAGTGGCAGCTGACTGGTTTTCACAGTGGGTTTCTTTCTTTCTTTTTTGCTCCCTGCCTGTCACAGAGATGGAAGTGTGTATACTAACGTGTAAAAATAAACTATCAACCCATAATCAATGGAACACACATATCAATACCCCCCCGCCACATTCCTGCATCCCAGACACAAGGATGCTCCTTCCTTTCAGTAAACAACCCCCGCACCCACGAATCTCTCATAACATTGATTTATTCTTAATTTATTTCTCTTATACCACAACTGTATAAATAAATAAATAAATAAATAAATAAATAAATAAATAAATAAATAAATATAGTAGTTGGACGATATATAAAGGCCTTACACAAATAA